CTTTTCTTTTTTTTCTTTTCTTTCTTTCTTTTCTTTTCTTCTTTTCTTTCTTTCTTTCTTTTCTTTTCTTTCTTTCTTTTCTTTCTTTTTGTTTGCTTTCTTCTTTCTTTCTTTCTTTCTTTCTTTCTTTTTTTTGTTTTCTTTCTTTTTGTTTTTTTCTTTCTTCTTTCTTTCTTTTCTTTCTTTTCTTTCTTTCTTTCTTTTCCCCTCCATTCTTTTCATTTCTTTCCTCCTATTTCTGATTGTTGTTGTTTCTGTTTTTCTTTCTTCTTCGCTTTTTCTCTTTCTTTCTTTCTTTCTTTCTTTTTTTCTTTCTTTTCGTTTCGTCTTTTATTTCTTTCTTTTCTTTTTCTTTCTTTGTTTGTTTCTTTCTTTTCTTTCTTTCTTTCTCGTTTTCTATTTCTTTCTTTCTTTTCTTTCTTTCTTTGTTTGTTTCCTATTTCTTTCTTTCTTTTTCTTTCTTTCTTTCTTTCTTTCTTTCTTTTTCTCTTTCTTTCTTTCTTTCTTTCTTTCTTTTTTTCTTTCTTTTCTTATTCATCTCTTTCTTTCTTTTTTCTTTCTTTTTCGTCTTTTTTATTTCTTTCTTTCATTTTTCTTTCTTTCTTTCTTGTTTCTTGCTTTCATTTCTTTCTTTTCTTTCTTTCTTTCTTTTTCTTTCTATCTTCTTTTTCCTATTTTTGTTTTCTTATTTCTTTTCTCTCTTTCTTTCTTTCTTTCTCTCTTTCTTTCTTTCGTTTCGTCTTTTTTTTATTTCTTTCTTTTCCATTTTTCTTTCTTTCTTTCTTTCTTTTTCTTTCTTTCATTTCTTTCTTTTTTCTTTCTTTTCTTTCTTTCTTGCTTGCTTGCACTCTTTCTTTCTTTCTTTATTTCTTTTTCTTTCTTTCTTTTCTTTCTTTCTTTCTTTTCGTTTTCTTTCTTGTTTTTCTTTCTTCCTTTCTTTCTTTCTTCTTTCTTTTTCTTTCTTTCTTTCTTTCTTTCTTTCTTTCTTTCTTGTTTGCTTGCACTCTTTCTTTCTTTCTTTCTTTCTTTCTTTCTTTCTTTCTTTCTTTCTTTCTTTCTCCCCCACCTCCATCTGCTTATTCATCTTCTTTCCTCCTATTCTGATTGTTGTTATTGCTGTTTTTGTTCTTCTTCAGCTTTTCTCTTTGCTCCTTTTCTTTCTTTCTCTTTCTTTCTTTTCGTTTCGTCCTTTTTTTCCTTCTTTCTTCCTTCCTTCCTTTCTTTCTTTCTTTCTTTCTTCGACTTAGGTTTTCTTTCTTTCTGGATCTTTAACGACACAGTTCTTTTTTCTTTTCTTTCTTTCTTTCTTTTCTTTCTTTCTTTCACTTTCATTTTCTCTTTTTCTTTTTCTTTCTTTTTTTTTTGATTGGCCTGACGTATGACGGCTCAGTTTTTTCTTTGTTTTCATTTCCTTCCTTCTGTCTTTATTTGCTCTCTCATTCTTTAATTTTTCTTTCTTTCTTTTTGCGTCTTTCTTTCTTCCTTCCTTCTTTTATCTTTCTTTCTTTCTTCGTCTTTCTTCTCTTTGCTCAGTTTTTCTTTATTTCTTTCTTTTTCTTTCTTTCTTCTCATTCTTATTTTTTCTTTCTTTCTTTTTGCGTCTTTCTTTCTTCCTTCCTTCTTTTATCTTTCTTTCTTTCTTCGTCTTTCTTCTCTTTATCTCTTCGTATTTCTTTCTTTCTTCTCTTTCTTTCTTCGTATTTCTTTCTTTCTTTCTTTCTTCTCTTTCTTTCTCGTCTTTCTTTCTTCGTCTTTCTTGTCTTTCTTTCTTCGTCTTTCTTCCTTTCTTCGTCTTTCATTTTTCTTTTTTCTTTCTTTCTTTCTTTCTTTCTTTCTTTCTTCCTTTCTTTAAATATTTGCCATGTTATTTTTTATTTTTCCTTGCCATATTTCTTTTCTTTTTCTTTTTATTTTTTTTATTTTATTTTTCTGATTCCTTCCTTCCTTCGTTCCTTCCTTTTTCCTTTCTTTTTTCTCTCCTTTTCTTTTTCTTTCTGGATATAACGTATTCTAATTTTTTTCCTTTCTTTCGTTCTTTCTTTTCTTTCTTTCTATTTTTTCCTTTATTTCTTACTTTCTTTCTTTTTCTTTCTTGTCTTTCTTTCATTCATTTTCTTCTTCGTTTCTTCTTTCCTTTCTTCCTATTTTTTATTTCTTTGAAACAATTCTTGGATTAAAATAACAAAATTTCTTTCAATTTTTTTCTACATTTGAACAACAGCGTTCTTTCTTTTTCCATATTTTTAGAAATAAACTCAGTAATTTTTCCGTCTTTCTTTCTGATTTTCTTTCTTTAATTTCTTTTCTTTTGTACAATGAATTTCGTGCACTTTAAATCCTCTATTCTCGTAGGCTAGATTAAAGCCTATCTAGTTTCTATTCTTGTCTGTAGGCTGGGTTATCCAGTCTTGATGGATCAGTGAAAGTCGTTAAATATGCTGGTTATCTTTTCGTTTCATGTTATTGTTCGCAAGAGAGTTGATATGATTTCAACTCCCCTTTTTTTTTTTCTTTGGCATCATTCGGTCAAGAAAGAGGAGAATTCTGGAAGCCGGAGCGAATCTAGAACGGTCTTTCAATATTTATTTATATTTTATAAGTTTATATAAGTCAAACAACATCTTTTTCTTTGTTTTCTTCGCTGATGGTTAAAATATTTCATAATTCTTTTCGTTTCGGATTTGCTTTCCTTTTCATAAATAAGATTTTTCTTGTCTTTTATCTTTTTTCTTAACAATTATTTTCCTACTTTCTTTCTTTCTTTTTTTCTTTCTTTCTTTCCTTTCTACTTTGCTATTTTTCCTCCTCTTCTTTCTTTCTTTTCTTTATTTGTTTTTTCTTTCTATCTTTTTCTTTCCTACTTTGCTCTTTACTTTCGTTCTTTTCTTCTTTCTTTCTTTCTTTCTTTCTTTCTTTTTTCTTTCTTTTCTTTCCAAATATCTTCTTTCTTTCTTTCTTTCTTTCTTTCTTTCTTTCTTTCTATCTTTCTTTGGTCCCATTTTTTTTATTTTCTTGTTCTCTTCTTTCTTTCTTTCTTTCTTTCTTTCTTTCTTTCTTTCTTTCTTTCTTTCTCTCTAATACACCAAGCCTCTTTCTTTTCTTTCTTTCCGGATGTTTTTTTACTTTCTTTCATTATGCTCTCTTCTTTCTTTCTTTCTTTCTTTCTTTCTTTCTTTCTTTCTTTCTTTCTTTCTTTTTTCTTTCTTTCTTTCTTTCCCCCAAGTTTTTTCTTTCATAATTTTTTGATCCCTTTTTTTTTTTCTTTCTTTTTATTCTTTCTTTCTTTCTTTTCTTTTCTTTCTTTCTTTTCTTTCTTTCTTTTACACCAAGCCTCTTTCTTTCTTTCTTTTCCCCATTCCTTTTCTTTCTTTCTTTTTTGTTTTTCTTTTCTTTCTTTTCTTACTTTCTTTTTTCTTTCTTTCTTTCTTTCTTTCTTTCAAGCCTCTTTCTTTCTTTGATCCCATGTTTTTTCTTTCATTATTCTTCTTTCTTTCTTTCTTTCTTTTTTTCTTTCTTTCTTTCTTTCCTCTTTTTCCAAACCTCTTTCTTTCTTTCTTTGATCCCATGTTTTTTCTTTCTTTCATTATGCTCTCTTCTTTCTTTCTTTCTTTCTTTCTTTCTTTCTTTCTTTCTTTCTAATACACCTCTTTTCTTTCTTTCTTTCTTTGATCCCATGTTTTTTCTTTCTTTCATGCTCTCTTCTTTCTTTCTTTCTTTCTTTCTTTCTTTTTTCTTTTCTTTCTCTCTTTCTTTCTTTCTTTCTTTTCCCATCTTTTTTACTTTCTTTCATTTGCTCTCTTCTTTTTTCTTCTTTCTTTCTTTCTTTCATTTCTTTCTTTTTTCTTTCTTTCTTTCTTTCTTTCTTTTGCTTTCTTTCTTTCTTTCTAAGTTTTTTCTTTCTTTCTTTCTTTCTTTCTTTCTTTTTTCTTTTCTTTTCTTTCTTTCTTTCTTTTCTAATACACCAAGCCTCTTTCTTTCTTTCTTTGATCCCATGTTTTTTACTTTCTTTCATTATACTCTCTCTTCTTTCTTTCTTTCTTTCTTTCTTTCTTTCTTTCTTTCTTTCTTTCTTTCTTTCTCTTTCTTTTTCTTTGATCCCTTTCTTTCTTTCTTTTTTTTTGCTTTTCTTTTTTTTACTTTCTTTTTCTTTCTTTCTTTCTTTCTTTCTTTCTTTCTTTCTTTTTTCTCTAATACACCAAGCCTCTTTCTTTCTTTCTTTGATCCCATGTTTTTTACTTTCTTTCATTATGCTCTCTTCTTTCTTTCTTTCTTTCTTTCTTTCTTTCTCTCTAATACACCAAGCCTCTTTCTTTCTTTCTTTGATCCCATGTTTTTTACTTTCTTTCATTATGCTCTCTTCTTTCTTTCTTTCTTTCTTTCTTTCTTTCTTTCTTTTTCTTTCTTTCCTAATCTTTTAAGCCTCTTTCTTTCTTTCTTTGATCCCATGTTTTTTTACTTTCTTTTTATACTCTCTTCTTTCTTTCTTTCTTTCTTTCTTTCTTTCTTTCTTTCTTTCTTTCTTTCTTTCTTTCTAATACACCACCCCTCTTTCTTTTCTTTCTTTGATCCCATGTTTTTTCTTTCTTTCATTATGCTCTCTTCTTTCTTTCTTTCTTTCTTTCTTTCTTTCTTTCTTTCTTTCTTTCTTTGACCCAAGCCTCTTTCTTTCTTTCTTTGATTCCCATTTTTTTTCTTTCTTTCATTTCTTTCTTTCTTTCTTTCTTTTTTCTTTCTTTCTTTCTTTCTTTCTTTCTTTTTCTTTCTTCTTTCTTTCTTTCTTTCTTCTTGTTTTTTTACTTTCTTTCTTTATGCTCTCTTCTTTCTTTCTTTCTTTCTTTCTTTCTTTCTTTCTCCCCTCTTTCTTTTCTTAATTTGATCCCATCTTTTTTTCTTATTTCATGATCCTCTCTTTTTCTTTCTTTCTTTCTTTCTTTCTTTCTTTCTTTCTTTCTTTTCTTTCTCTCTAATACCCAAGCCTCTTTCTTTCTTTTTTTGATCCC